GGCGGGTTCAGTTTTTTTACATTGTTGGAGATTCTTCAAGCACATTATAGCTACAAAAACAGGATATAGATGAAATTCGATCAAAGTAGCCCAAAAAAATTTATTTAAGAAAGTAGAACAAGAGAGTATTAAGCAATTTATAAGCTAAAAAAGAGGTTGATTTGCTACTAAATGATGTCTAGATACTGGTAGAATTAACATTACAATAGGTTAGTTACTTTCAAATCATTTAGTTCCACCATTGACAATTTAATAATTATCGAACTAATCATTTTCCTCTTTGAGAGCAACAAGGACAAACAATAAGGTATGAGTGCTCACATAAAACTTTCGCATTAATATCTCGTGGGGATATATAAAGCTTGAAGAAGAAATCATTAAAGCAAAAAATACAAAAAGTAAGGCTTTCCACCTTCTAATGGGTACCTTCCCCACCTCCTCATCAAACCCACCATCTCTTCATGATAATGAAGCTAGCTATTTTGTGATCATTGGGCTCCACTCTTCTTACACTACCAATAGATATTAGAATAATTGTAGATAAATTGATTCCCCTTATAATAGTACTATTGTCATTATACATATTAATTTTATTTTAAATAATAATGTGTTTTTCCGTATGTTAATGACTCTTTGGGTGAGTAGAGCTCCCCAATGACAGGGGGTTGGGGAGCTGCTCCCCAGGGTCCTCAAGAGATTCTTGCTACAAACAACCAATTGAACACTTGAACACCCTGCAAAAAAGTGTGTGCTGTTGGAATTGATGTTGGCATTCAACATTATTTTCGGGACTCCACGCCTATCCCACACACAAGTAACTATGAAGAAATGCTGATGCATGATATCACTAAAATGGTCACAACACATATATATGATGAAGTTACTATTGAAGTAATTGAAAGGGTTATGCGTCAGTAACATAGAGAGAAAAAACAATAATAAAATATATACATTATATTTTTTATAAATAAAATGATATAATAGAATAAAAAGATAAAATAATATGAATTATTATTATTAAAATGATAATAATAATAACTAATGAAATAAATATAATAATAATTATTATCTAATTTTATCAATTAAAACATTTTTTTTAAATCTATCACATCATTCATTAACTTTAATCAACTTTGATTTCAAATATTTTCATTTCTTATCATTTTTTCATTAACTCAAACAATCCTTTTTTTTCCTCAAATCCACTCTCTGAAATTCATCTTAGAAAAACAAACACAGATCTTTAAAGTCTTTGGACTATAATTTCATTTCATTGTTTGATCTTTTTTACCCTTGGAATGGATTAAGAAAATACAACATTGCTTAAGGTCTTTTTGAATGAGTTTCATTTTCTTCTTTTCAAATATACATATTGCTTAGTTTTTCTATCCCATAAAATGGATTGATTAGGACAATTAATAGGTTAAGGTCTTTGGATCAATTTCGTTTTTTTTTCTCATGTATCTATCGTGTTTAATTTTTCTAACCCATAAAATGGACTCGAATACGTTAAGTATGACTTTAATGTTTTAGGCTACTTTTTCTTTGTGTGCTTAATTTTAATGGAATGGGCTAGTACAACCATAAGTTTTTTCATATAATTATATAAATACATATTATTTTACATCTATGAATTAGTCCATCATCTACTCTACGAAGCACTTATAATTTAATAAGTTAATTTATCACTCAAAACTTAATAAAGGAATAATTTATTTCTCAATATGACTGACTATCAATTAAAAACTAATTTATTACTTAATTTGTCTATAAACATAATGTTTATAGCCAAATTTTTGGTCGACTTTAACTAAGATTTTTCATGTAATGACTTGATTGTTAAAATTGTAACACCCAAAAAAAAATTTTTTTTTTTAAACATCTCACACACAAATTATTTCATTAAAAATAAAAACCTCGTATAATATTACAATCATCCATTTAGGAGTAGTATAGTTCGTACTGTAAAATACATTATTTTTTTTACATCATTACAACACTCCTAAATTTATTTATTTATTTCTTTAAACTACTCTTCATTTTTCTGCTGCTTCCTCCTTCACTTGAATTGGGTCGGCCGTCGTTCCGGCATCTGCTCCTATAACATAAACATTCTAACGATCATCGCAAAAAATAAGAATTTTCCGACAACAAACAAACAAGTAAGGTGTTGAGCTAACCATGCACATTCAAAGAACAGCATTACACTATTATTATACGTATCCTTCACCACTATTCATGCAAGAACTTCAATTATCATACTAGCCTATTATCCGGATATAAGGTTGATGGAAGTCTCGGGGTTGGTCAGCACTTTTTGTGACTCAACAACTATTATGGCCAAATATAATATATCACATCACCAACCAGGTTATCCTTAACGTCTATGGAACATAGACTATTAAGGACCTCCTATACTCTCACCATCTAAAACACATCCTTCGCGAATTTGAGACTGGGACAAAATTATATTAGAATTTTAGGATACCACCAACAACGGACCCTCACATCAAATATACACTATACCATACCAATATGAATCTCCTCCATGAGACCATATCATGCTCATATTCCTCAACTCTGATCATACTATTACCAAATCTCCCCATAATTACTCCATATCATGTTCAATTCATAATTTCATATCAACATCATAAATACATTCATCACAGAAATCATACAAGATAAATATATTACAAACAAATTAACAATAATAAAATATTACTATAAATGGTTACCGGGGAAGAATCAAATGTTTGACAATCATTAAAATAATCTTAATAAAAATTCTTGGGGAAACAAGAAGTTTAATTTGGCAGAGCCGGTTAGACAACTTCTCATCCTTTCAGGGAGATGCAATAAAAATTAAATAGAACAATAAAAGTTCTGGGAAACAAGAAGTTGAATCTGGCAGAGTCATTAGACAACTTCTAATCCTTCCAAAAATAAAAACGAGTAAGGAAAACAATATCAGTATGGGGAAACAAGAGTTGAATCTGGCAGAGCCGGTTAGACAACTTCTAATCCATCCAAAAATAAAAACGATTAATGGGGAAAACAATATAAGTATGGGAACAGAAGTTGACTCTGGCAGAGCCGGTTAACAACTTCTAATCGCTCCAAAAATAAAAACGAATAAGGAAAACAATATAAAGTATGGGGCAACAAGAAGTTGAATCTGGCAGAGCCGTTAGACAACTTCTAATATATCATCCAAAAATACACAATAATAACAATAATAGTAACATATGGCATAACATAATCAACATCACATTTTACAACTATCACACTTGGATCTAAACACAGAAGCATGTTCTCATCCAAAATTCAAAATCATACAAACAAAATACTTCACATTCAAGATTTAAGGTCAACCAAAAGCAACATATGCAAGACTCAAAATAATACCAAACAAAATGTAACTCCCCTTACCTCTATTCCAGACTTAATTTCCTCCTCTAAAACAGTTCTCCGAAAACTTCCAGAATTCCCCCTTTGTAACTAAAAATTCCTCCAACTCTCTTCTCTCACAAATTTTTCTATAATTTTGGTGTAAGTTTCAGCCTTCCCTCCCTTGCTATTTATAGCCAAAAAAAGTTTACTATTCATTTTTACTATTCAATTTTTTTACTATTTATTTTTACTATTCATTGACTATTACAAAAATATTATTTTAATCACCATTTCCTAAATTCTTATCTTTGATGATTCAATTCTACGTGGAGTGTTTATCTCCTCCACAATTTAATTTAATTTTTTTTTTACTATTCACTTTTTTTTTTTTTAAAACCTCTAAAATTACTCCAATCCTTTATCTTAAATTGTTAATTTTTCTTATCATAAATTTTATTATTAATTATATTTTCTACCTTTAAAATTATTACTACAAAAATAATTGATATTATTTATTACAATAGATAACATTTTTTTTTGGACTTTACAAAAATAATATACTATCAATAAAATTAGATAAATTTATGTAATAGATAAGTAATTAATTTTTTTAAGCCTATTTATAATTATTTTCAAAAATACATTTTCATTCTTCCTTTTGATTTAAATGTATCTCTATATCAAATAAAATAGGTCTTACATCTTCTATTCATCTTCTGTTATCTTTCACTTTATTATGGTATTCTTAATCATTAGACAATATTTTTTTTTTAATTTTAATATTATAATTTAAATTAATATCTTCATTTTTCTTCATTTTTTTTTACCAAAAGACGGATTTGAACAATCCTAATAGATTACTTTATTGAAAATTCATAATTTTCAAGATACGTAAATTCATTCAATTTAAATTGATATTATTTTAAAATATTTCATTTCCATATATTATTTGATAAGTCAATTCAAATTTATTGAAATTTTAATTTCTTTTATCAAAATCATTTAAATGTCAAACAATTGTTGATAATTCAGAAATATTACTATTAATGACCTTTTTTAATCAGTTTTTGTTGATTTTATTTTGTCAAAGTGGTCTAACATTTTTTTTTCAGATAATATTAGTGGTTCTTTTTTTTCTTTATCGAGTTATTTGTGTCCACCATAATTAATTACGCTGACATAGATTAATGTTAATTTTACAATAATGTAGTTTAATTTCGTTTTTGTGGACTTTTCAATTGATGTTAGTTGAAAAGTTTTCCATTTAACGTTGGTAAAAACAATCCTAATTATTGGTTTTCCTAATTATGTAATTATTGGTTTGGTTAATTTTCTTACAATAGAAAGAAATTAGAAGACAAAAAATATCTAACTCATAGAAAACTAATTGAATTATCTCTCCTCGATCGGGGAAAAGAAATCTAAATTAAATTGTTTAGGCATATGATAGATTTCTTAACATAAATGATGCACAGCAACGAATATAAATGATGGCATGGGGCTTTCTTAACATCAAAGATGAAAAAGAAAAAGAACTGAATCATTCGCATTATACTAACAACTCTTGTTCACTCTTTTCTTTGTTTAGATTATCTCATATCAACAAAATGAGTGCTTATTTTCTCAAAACATTTTGTGTTTTTCTCCTGTTTTCTTTGCTTGCCTCTGGAACTAGTGTGGCATTGAAGAACTCAAGTGAAAGTGGTGAAGCAAAGTGCATAGAGAGAGAGAGGCAAGCACTCCTCAACTTTAAAGAAGGCCTCATAGATGACTTTGGTATACTCTCCACCTGGACCAACCATCACAATAATACGGATTGCTGCAAATGGAAACGCATTCTCTGCAACCATCAAACTGGTCATGTACATCTGCTTGATCTTCATGGAAACTACTACTATACACCGTATTTGCGAGGTACAATCAATGTCACTTCATTGATTCACTTGCCGTATATTCAACATCTGGATCTCAGCAATAATTATTTTGTAATGAGTTACATCCCAGAGTTCACGGGCTCCTTCACCAACTTAAGATATCTTGATCTCTCCCATTCTTCTTTTGGAGGGAGGATTCCTCCTACACTTGGATATCTCTTACAACTACGCTATCTAGATCTTGGGGATAATATTCTCTGGGGAGAAATTCCCTTTCAGATAGGGAATCTCAAACACTTAGAGTATCTCGATATTGGAGGATTTTATCTTTCTGGAAAAATCCCATACCAAATTGGGAATCTCATAAAGTTACAATATCTTAGTCTTGGAAGTAACACTCTTCTATATAGAAGGAATATGGAAAACTATGCTTCAAATTGCCTTTCTGGAGCAATCCCTTTTCGAATGGGGAATCTTCCATTGCTGCATACTCTTCGACTAAGCGGCAATTTTGATATAAAAGATACGGATGCAAAATGGTTGTCTACTCTCCATTCCTTAACCATTCTTGAGTTGAGTTCACTGCATAATCTTAGTTCCTCTCACCAGTGGCTACAAAGTATAAGAGAGCTCATTCCAAATTTGAGCGAGTTGAGGCTAATTAATTGTGATCTTTTGGATAATGATGTTCAATCTTTATTTCATTCTCATTCTTCCAACAATTTCATTTCACTTAACATCCTAGAACTATCTTCTAATACCTTGACATCATCAACACTTCAATTTTTGTTTAACTTTAGCTTTCATCTTCAAGAGCTTGATCTTTCTCACAACAATATAGCTTTGCCACCTTATCTATGTTCAAATTTTCCATCTCTAAAGGTTCTCGATCTCTCTTATAATAATCTATCATCATCAATGTTTCTAGGTAATCTTAATATCAGCTCCAAACTGCAGGAGCTTCATCTTGTAAAGTGCAGTATTATGGATAGAAGCTTCACCGTTTCACCTAGTTCTACAATGAATTCTACGTCTTCTCTTCTCTATCTCAATCTATCTGCTAACTTGCTAAAATCATGTTCTATATTTCACTGGCTTTCTAACTTCACTGCCAATCTTCGTATCGTTTACCTTGATTATAATTTCTTGGAAGGTCCTATTCCAGATGAATTTGGTAAAGTGATGAACTCTCTTGAATATCTTAATCTTTCTGATAACAAACTA